ATTGAATCAATGTCAGATCAGCACAAATCATAGCAAAGACACAGTGAAGCGTACATATGCCCCATACTGAGGCACAAAGCATATGTTCTAAAAGGTTAACGTATATAAAGACAGTAGCAATGGCTTTCTTTTTGTTTCACAGTTTTAGATTCTGCCCCACCCCCACCCTTCTTTGTTTTGGCTCATGTAATGCAAAAATTGGGATGTTTTAGATAAGCTGTCTGTTGTCATCATCTGACTCGGCTTCTAATACAATCCCTTCTCCCAAATCAGTTTTAAGAAAATATTGTGCCAAATGTGAAATGTCATTACAACCCCCTTGTGATTAATATATTATTGACAGCAGCAAATTACAGAGCTGTCTCTTAGGAGTGAAACTGCAGAGTAAACGCTGCTGTTTATTAATGTGCTCACAATGCACCCAGTATTCCTCTGTAGAGAAGGGAAAGGAGGCAGCACAGGGCGTCTCTTTCCCACCAGTGACAGTTCTCTATCTCATGTTCTCACTCACAAGTTTTAGTTTCAGTTCAGATGAGGATTCAGGTTGTCATTCATCACTTAGTCGGATGTAAAATTCCTCCGCCCTGCCAACCCAAATTAGCTGTATTAAGTGGTTTGGTTGCTCTTGCTATTTTATCTATGCATAACACACTGGAGATGAAAAACATTTTATTTGATTGTTTTATTTATTTATTTAAAATACGTGTATCCCATCTATACCACACAGGTCTCAAGATGGCTTACAACAAAAGTAGCACAGTTAAAAAAAGATGAAACATTAAAATTACTATCTTAAAATACCATCAAACCTTAAAATACCAGGTTAAAAAAAAAGGTTTTGGCCTGGCACTGAAATGAATAAAGAGTTGGTGCCAGGCACTTCTCTCTAACAAGCAGGTTCCAAAGCTGGAGTGCTACCTCAGAAAAGGCCCTTCTTTGGGTAGCCACTGTTCTGCCCTCCTTCAAAGAGAGCTCCCGAAGAAGGACAACGGAGGAGGATCTTAAGGCTTGGGCAGGTATATACAGAAAGTATATACTTTAACCAAGGACTGAACAGGAGTCAGCAGTAGAATTGCATTATAAAATTGATGTCTCTTGAATGAAATACTTTGTAAATTATTTCTACAGTGGACACATATTTTGCAGTTCTTCATATAGCACATTCTCCTCAAGTTTCCATTTCTCCTAGAGTGTTCTTTAATTTAGCACATTATATGTTATTTGTATGAATTAAGTATCTATTGAAGTCTGCTCCCTATCAATTAGTTCCACTTCTAGCCATTCTTACTGCTTCTCTCCTTCTCTGCCAGTTTTATCACCTACCCACCACATGTTCATTTACCCATTTACACCTGGATCAGCGTCTGCAAATATACTTCACTTTTCTTGGACAGATATGAACTCATCTGCCTATGTTTTTTAGTCTGTATATAATAAAGAATATCACTTCCAGTACTAACGTGCTTCCATAGGAAGAGTAATGTGACATCAACTCAAATGCTTCAACCTGCTCTGAGTTGATTAAACACCCCTGCTACAGTCAGGCTGAGTCATAAAGCTTGGGGAGCTCAGTTCCAAGTTGGTCTGAGCAACAGCAGTCACATTTGTGTTCACATGACTGGGTCATTCATGTATACAGGGGAGACTGGGTGTTTGATATAACTGGCATATCAAAAGGGATGTGTACTTTACCTCCCAGTCGCCAAACTCCTTTCTGCCGTTCCTAGGTCCAGTATGAGAAGTGAGCCTTGGGTCCTAGCCTGGGTTCGGTTCCCAGAAGGGCCCACCCTGTTTCCTCCAGCCATTGGTTCTTTGGTGGTTGCCCAACTTTCGTGCAGTTTTTCTCCATTCTAAAAAGTTGACATGCTTCTCTGAAGACTGACTTACTGGCCCTAACAGCTTTAAGCTAAAATGGCTGGCATCTGTTGGTTTTGGCCCTGACCTTTTTACCTTTGAGTCTGTGTTCCACTGAAATGAGGCCTCTGAGAATTTTTTAAAAATGGAATTCGACCCTCAGTCTCAAAGAGGTTCTGTTTTCCTAGGTAACAGGGAAGTGGCTTGGGGAGAGCTAGCAGGTTGATTTTGATGATTGATTTAGTTCATCTGCCACATCTTTATATATCAACAGGGACAATCATGTAACAAATGCATCTATTTTTATTTGGGTGGTGTGTTACAAATTAACCAGTCTTTGCAGCAGGCAGTGACTGGGAAGTAAGGTATATGACTATGAAGCAATGAAGATTCCATTGATCTATTGATTCATTGATCCAACCAACAGACCTTGCAGTAAGACATTTCCATCAGGAAACATGCATGAATAAAGTTCAAAAACATACATGCTCGTACAGTATAGGAGTATTATCTTCTGCAATGAAGGCAAAGTGTGCTGTGTGGCATTTCTATAAGGCTTGTAATAGGGTTGATGGGAGTTACAGGCCAAAACGTCTGGAAAGCCACAAGTTGCCAGCCCCTGCTCTAGTAGAATAAGCATGTTTTTGTTTCTAACTTTTGCATCCACGTTACAGCTCTCTTTTGCAAGCTTGCTTACTTTACAAAAACTTATCAGAGTTGTTTTCCAACCCTCAAAAGAGACCCTTAGGCAAACCTTGAATGGTGCCCAGAAGCCAATGAACCTTCTGCATTTGTCCCCCTTTGCTTCTCCGCAAACACAACATTTGCCATTTCAGTAAAAACTACAGCTTGACAGCTGGTGCTTTCTGAAACCACTACCTCCTTTAGCCATTCCACTTTCGCACCCCTGCTGGTGTTGCAGCTGCTGGCAGGTATAGCAACAGTTTTCTCATGCTCTGGCGTGGCTGCCATCTGTGGCCTGGTGGAGAATGAGTTGTGTGCCCTTGGTGAGGGATCAGTGGCATCATGGCAAAGCAAGTGCGAAATAGATTTCTCTTTAAAAAAGTTATAAGGAGCTTTCTCTAGACTGCCTTTTGTGCAGTTTTCCAGCTGTGTGCATAGAAAAGACTCTCTCAGTGGGTCCCTCAGAGTCCACTGGTGCTGAAGGTCTTGACCCAGGTATACCGTATTTCCCTGAAAATAAGACCAGGTCTTATATTAATTTTTGCTCCAAAAGACACATGAGAGCTTATTTTCAAGTGATGTCTTATTTTTTCATGTACAACAATCTACATTTATTCAAATACAGTCATGTCATAATCTTCTGGAACATCGTCATAACTCTCCAAACCCCGAACTGTGTTGCAACGGACGTACTAAATGCATCCATCTGCTCACAATCTTAACTGGGGCTTATTTTGGGGGCAGGGCTTATATTACAAGCATCCTGAAGAATCATGCTAGGGCTTATTTTCCAGTTAGGTCTTACTTTCGAGGAAACAGGGTAGTTGCCGTGAGATGTGGAAGTGTCTGGAGTTTAGCTGGAGCCATAGGGACCCTACAGGATCTTTGGTCTCTGTGATAAGGATATCACAGAGACCTTATCTTCATTTTTTGGGGGGTGATCCTGGCACAGCTTTGGGTTGGGTGTGACATCTCGGTGCAAGGGAGAAGGAGATGAAGTCTTCCTTCTGTATTTTCCCACTGAAAATCATCAACCCCAAAGCTATTGCTTGTTCCAACTGGAGAAAAGAGCACCTAAGATTGGGGTTCCTCCTGCTTTTTGACAAATCCTATTGCAGAACTCAGGCATCTATGGCTTGTTGCTAAATCTATTGAACATCTTGCTTTGATATTCTTTGGAGTGTAGCTTTTACATTTTTACTTTAAATTGCAATTATGCCATCACCTGAAATTAGACAGACTCTGTACAGAATGAAGTACTGTAGTCTACTTGGTAATAGATTTGGGTTTTAAAGCAACATGAAAAAAATTAGCAATCTGAGTCTTAATCTTTGAGATTAGAGGCATAATTTAAAACTTCATACATTTAAAGACTCAACTGTGTGGTATCATGGAAATAATGTACATGTCATTGAAAAGTAAACACATTTCAGGCTTAAACCTTCCTGATTTTTTAGAATTTCCACATAGCTACCATATTCTTCTTTTAGAAAAAGTCCTCTAGCAGTTGAGTAAGTTTTCTGTGTAAGAAGCATTATGATCACCAACATTATTTGTTTTAGGTGAGCAGGAGACCTTTGATGATAGAATGGTATCTTAAGTTTTGGAAGAATTAAAAATAATTTTAAAATGTGCTACATAAAAGCAGAGGAGCAGCAAATTTCCAGAGCTGTTTAATCACACGATATCCTGTGCAGTCTGGCTGAGGCTACCATCCTTTGTGCTTGATGGCAGAAAGGGTTAGACATTTAATGTCTGTTTCCAGCAGTCAAGAATATTTTTAAAGTATTTAAATATTTGTTTCTGGATCCAAAAACTTGTTTGTTCTGCTTGTTTGATAGTTACTATTTTTATTTTCATCTGCCCAGGCTAACATTTAATTTGTCTCCCATGTGGATTTTCACACAAGGATTAATGGCAAGTTTCTAGAAATTACATTAATTTAACTTATTTGCCTAACTGTTGTTCTGCAGCAAGTAGCACGAATGTTCCCAGATTCTTGGCTGTGTGGTCCTTGTTTTAGTTGGAAGCCAAGCAGAAACATCTGAAAAGCATTATTTGGATTATGCATGCTGGAGCATCTAATCTTACCTTTAGGATCCGGTTCCTAAATCACAATTCTTCTCACCCTTTGTATTCCCCAATGTGACACAGCTTCTAGTTATGCTTTCAGTAAGAGGATTCTTTTGATAATACCTAGTATAAATTAAAGTGACAAGTGGATGTAAGCTGGAGACACAAGTCTTTTCCACATAATTAACAATGAAAGTAATCACAACTAGTGATATGAACTGGGAGATAAAGCTGATGTTGAGACTTAGCCAGTAAGATGCTTTTTCTGTCTTCTTTTTACTTTGTTTAAGAATGAACCGTTGATGAATCTGCACTTGTATGTCACTTTCTCTGGTAACATTTTTTGATTGTGTTCATTTTAGAAATACCAACTCTCTCTCTGCTTTCAGAGTATGATATCATCCATTGTAAATAGCACATACTATGCCAATGTGTCAGCAACCAAGTGCCAGGAGTTTGGAAGATGGTATAAAAAGTACAAGAAGATTAAAGGTAAAATAATTTTAGTTTTTAATCCTTGCCAAGCTTCTGAACAGATCTTGAATGCTTCTAAATCCATTACTCTAAAATGATCAAGTGATGCTTTACATAGGCTGATTTGTATACACCATCTATATTTTTCCAAAGGGTTTATTTGGTTTAAGAGAATTTGAACAATTTTATAAGTGTTGTTTCTCAAGGTAAAAAAGGGAATATTTGTAAGTGCTGTTTATTTATTTATTTAGAAAATTTCTATGCCGCCCCATTTGCCAAAGCCTCGGGGTGGCTCACAAAACATCAATTAAAATATAATACACTAAAAATATAAAACGAATTAACAATATAAAATAAGTCGCCCTGGCCAAAGAATAAAATAAGCAAATAATATTAGCAATTAAAATGACGTTTGAATAAAAAGGTCTTCGCCTGGCGCCGAAAAACAAATAACGACGGCACCAGGCGGACCTCTCTGGGGAGCGCATTCCATAGATTGGGCGCCACCGCAGAGAAAGCCCTCCTCTGAGCACCTACCCTCCTAATTTCCTTCACGGAGGGTTCCTGGAGAAGGGCCTCTCCCGCAGATCTCAGGGGGCGGGCGGGCGTATATGGACGTAAGCGCTCCTTCAGGTAGCCAGGACCCAAGCCGTTTAGGGCTTTATAGGTCATCACCAACACCTTGAATTGGGCCTGGACTTCAATGGGAAGCCAGTGAAGCTGACGGAGGGACTGGAGTCATGTGAACATAACGCCCAGTCCCCGTCAGCAACCTGGCAGCTCTATTTTGAACCAATTGAAGTATCCGGACCGTCTTCAAGGGTAGTCCCATGTAGAGCGCGTTACAGAAGTCAAGGCGGGAAGTCACCAATGTGTGTGTCACTGTCACCAGGCAGTCGTACTCCAGGTAGGGGCGCAGCTGATGGATCAGCTGAAGCTGAAGGAAAGCGCTCCTAGCCACTGCTGTCACCTGAGCTTCCAATGAAAGCTCTGGGGTGAGGAGCACTCCCAAGCTGTGGACCTTGTCCCTATATGCTCTCAGCTTAAAGAGAATCAAAGCGCAGCTTCAAGGCTGTTCCGTGGATTGCTCCTACTTGTAAGAGAAAAGGGGACAGTTGTCCTATCGCACTGGGCTGTGGTGTATGAGTGCCTTCAATAGTCTAGAAAACCCTGAGATGCTATTACAACTACGAAATAGTTTTAACATGTTGTGAGATTCCACGTTCTTTCTTTCTTAGCATTCAATTTTTAATACTTTTTTCTCTTTTTTAGTTAGTAAGTGTACAGTTAAATTGTTGAATGCAGTAAAAACAGAATGAGACCTTGATTGCAATCGAGATGTTAAGAATCTGTGCCCGAAGAGTTTCTGCATAACTGTGTGTATGCCGTTAAATAGGCTCAGCCTGTTTACAGCTGCTTGCGACTGTGTGTATGCGTGTGTATGGTTGAGGAGGAAGGGAAGGTTAAGGTATGTGTGAAATAAACACAAGCTGCTCTAAAATGGTTCAAGTGATGTCGATTCATCAGTTAAACAAGTAGGAGGGAAAACAACAATGAGAAAAAAAATCACAGGTATTGTTGTGCATGAAATACAAACAGATTCAGAACTTTATTATCATCATTGAAAACCCTCTCAAAGAGATGATTTTGGTATTTTTAATTTCACATCTTTTCAGTTTCTTATGATTTTCATTTCCACTTCATAACCTAATGTTTATAAATGAGAATTTATTTCAGATGTGAGATCAGTGATTGTTTGTAAACTTCAGTCTCAGTGCATTCCTTCTACTTAAAAAAGGGTTGAGGGATTGTAAATGTGGTCAACAAGATTCAGGGTCAATCCAGTGGAAGCAGCCATTGATGTCATTGGAGCTAACACATGCATCTAAACTCCAAAGCATTGGTTGTTTGAAATGAAAAGCCATTTTTTCCTAATTTACTATTGCAAATGGAAAGTAGAAGAGGGTTTCAAAATTATTTTATTGGCATTGCAGTTGAACATAATCTGCTGTGTGAAATGTGTTTCTTATTTATCCACTAATGTCTCTTTTAATAAAGCAGTGGGAACTAACTGGTCCCTTCTTAATCAAAACCATGATTTCCTAAACATAAGCTATGTGATTCTGTTACAAGTTGCCACATATAGATCTCTTTGGTCAACCTTTCCCCCCTCCTACTCTATCGAAATAAACAAACAGTAAAATAATTATACATACTGGAAGATCAAAGTAAATATAACTAATGCACAGCAAAAATTTTAAAAACCCTCTGGAAGAAGAAAAGCATTAGGTTGCAGAACGTATACTTAACATTTAAACAAATATAAGAAACTGAACAATCAATAATTTGATATCATTAGCAACAGATGTAAAAGCTATATGCAAGGAGAACTTGAAATAAACATGCTCAGTGTATAGTTTTTGGAACCCATTACAAATGCAGCAGAACTATTTAGGCTTGAAATATTTTAAAGTTTTCACTTAGCTCATGGCAGCCTCTGCATTTATGTCAGTCATATTTAATTTTTTGGAGGTTGGCTAACTGCATGTGCACCTTCCTATAGGTTTCTAAATAGCTGTTCATTTGCAGTCATTTTCTAACATCTGTGTGAGAAGTTTCATGCACTATATTGTAACCCTTCTTTCCCTTTACTTTTCTTCCTCCCAGTTGTCTAATTTATCTTCTCTTTACTGTTTATCTTGTAAGCTTCCAAGGAGGGTGGTGCTGTTGTTTCTCCTCCTCCTCCTTCACAGTAACTAGCAGCTTTAGATACTCATTAAAACAACAACAACAACATTTTTACTAGCACTCTTGTGCTATTTGTGCACTGTTAATGTGAGACAGAGACCATAGAAGAAACTGAATGTACAATTAGCTTAGATTTTTAAATTCACAATATAGAGCAATTTTAGCACAAGCTTCACATGTCGGGGCCTCTTTAGTCAGCAGTTAGTGGAAATACTGTCATTGGAAATAGGTTATATGAAGGATGCTGTGTTTTTGTTTCTGGCCTGCTAATAGAATGGTCCATGGAGCACTATTCTTCATGATGGGATTGGTGGGGGAAATTAGGGGGGAAGTCTCTTTTTCGTGTTGATATTTGTCGTTCAGTTTCAATATAGGAATGAGATAGGTAGCTGGCTTGTACCCTCCATGAGTAATCAGCTATGTGTTGTGTAAGCTATATTGTGTTATCCAAACCCAGTGCAGTTCTTGCAGGGTGGCTTATTTTTCCTTGAACAAGCCACCTTGGACTTGTCTGAGAGGTTGTTCAACTCGCAGTGGATTTTTCCGGTATTCACTTTTGGCATGGTAAATTTATTGTGGGTTGTTGGGAACTTCTTGCTCAGCAGGAGCAGTAATACCCTCTGGTACTTACTTTTGCAAATGCCCAGCAGTTGTCTCTCCACTGAATGGCGCTTTTGGAAGGACTACAATTTGGTCCTCAGCTTTTAAAAAAAAAATAATTTCAGAGCCTCAGGAAAAATTTGCTTTTGTAAGCCGCCCCAAGGTTTTTTGCAAATGGGGCAGCATAAAAATGTTCTAATGTATTTAAAAAATTTCTTTCCTGAAAAGTGTTCATTTAAAAAAATTGGTGGGTTCTCACAGATGCACAAGTGCGTGCATGCTCACAGCTATTTGATACAAGGTAAGACTGCACACAATTGGCAGGGATCAAGTACTTCACTGTCAATGGAAAAGCACTGGTGAAGGACAAAAAAATGGAGAAAGAAGGTGTACCAAGAGAGGGTGGAACAGTATTATGCACTTGGCAATTGAATCCTCTCAATTTTAAAGTGTTGAATTATCAGTTGTCAATTCCCTTCACCCTTTCAGCACTTTCCCTAGTCTGCAGCTACTCCAGAAAGAAGTGGTAGTAACGCCACCCCCCTCCATTTTGGAGCATCTGCTGCAAGTGTGCACTGACAACTGTCAGTGCAACAATTTAAATGGAGAGAATTACATTACTAAGTATGTGAAAGTCCTGCTATCCCTTTTTGGTACACCTACTTTCCCTCCACTTTCCCAGTCTCCTGGTGATCAGCAGTTTGGCAAATGGCAGCTGGCAAGTGTGAGCAAGTTGGCCTGTATATTGTCTTGCCTTGCCTGCCTTTTCACAACTCAAATGAATGGAAATTGAGCACGCAAAACTATACATTTAGAATAGCCATAAATACACCTACACTTTTGTACCTGCAAAGAACCAACAGAAGCAATTTTAAAAACATGTAATTTTAAAGACTAAAATAATGTGATCCCAATTGTGCTTTTTTGAGGGTCAGACTTTTTCCTTTTAAATGGTATGAATTAAAAGAGTAGCTGTTGGAGACGACAAAGGGAGACAAGATGGCCTCATGCCTGAACTGGCTGGAGGAGTGAAGGGGAAGGAAGAACAGAACAACCCACACTCAGCCAAGTCCCCTGCCAGGCACACAGCAGGGTATCCAGCAAACAACCCAGCCCTCTGTGACTTAGTCATGGGGCAGCTTAACATGTCATGTGAACCCTCCCAGTAACTTTCTTCACTTAGCAGTTTTTGAAAAGGTTTTGATAACCAAGATACAGTGCAGTATCCTCAGAAGTAAGTCCCATTGAGTTCAATAGCACTTATTCCTGAGTAAGTGTATACTATACACCATTACAGCCTAATTGGCTAAATATGGAGGAAGTCTTATGGTAGGTTAAGTTGAATGTGAATATTTTCAATACATCCGTAGTGCAGAGAAGTTGTTTTAGCAGGCATGCTTCAGGATTTGAATTTCATCTGCAATCACATGAATATCTTCATTTTATTAGTGCAGGAGAGAATTAGCCATTTAGGACAGTTTCTTTTTCTTTCTAAATTTGAAAGATTATGAACAAATTTTAGTATATAAATTAAAAGCCCATGGGTTGTGCAGTAAGCATATCATAACTAAATTTTGATTTGCTTAATAAATGGATCAGTAAACTGTCTTAAAATATCGTATGGCATTCTAAAATAAAGCTGCTTAAAAGCATGCATATCTAAACAGAAAATGGCCTGTAACTCTCAGTGTTCCGAGAGTTGTAGGACTCTTATCTGTCTAAACAAAGAACTATACCTTAAATGAAATCATGTCCTTTCCATGTCTGTTTATCTATAGATATTTAATTTTCCTTGACTTTTCAACTAGCTACACATTTTATCCTCCTGAATACTGTGTTAAGTTTGAAAATGCATTTCCTGAAATAGAGATGAAAATTTTTGATCATACCATTTTCCAGTGAGCCCAAATATTGCCAGCAACAGAGGGAACATATTCTTTGATATACCTGTTAAAATATTTGTACTTATTAACTAAATAGCATAAATTATTTTCAAATGTTATTTTTATTTCTCCAGAACTGGTTTTCTTCACTGCCCACCAACCTAGCTCAGTACAATAACATGTGTTGTACTCACCTTTTAAAAAAGGATACATAGTTTATGGGAGACATTTATAGATTTAAACTATTAAATGTATGTCACTCCTTAATATTTCTTAATCAGCATTTCATTTGGCAACTGTAACCAAAAATACACATCGGTTCTCAGCCACAGGAAGGCTTCTAAATCAATTTCTTGTAGTTGTGTTGTCCGAAATGCCCATTGGTGGAACTTGCTGCAGAAGCTCTGTGATCTGGAGAGGGGCTCTGGGTAACATGCCGCCATCCCCTGTCTGCCAACTGGCATGGCAGAACTGTCCCTCCGGCCTCACAAATCACAGATGTGCAAATACAGATTTCTTGGCCTCAGACCAGACAGTAAATAGCATTGTTGGATGGTTGGGGTAAACAAAAAGTTAAATGTTGACTGGAAATGAGATTTCTGAAATTACCCCCTTGCTTATAATTGGGTTAAGTGGGTTGTGATTAAAAGAAATAAGTGATTGAGATAATCACAGTTTTTCAGTGTTACCACATGAAAAGCACCTCCCAGGCTCTAGAGTGGCTCTGCAAAGTTGAGGCCAGTAATTATGTAGTCCATTTAACAAGCCTGCCCTCAGGCATTGACTACAGTAGAACTGCCTCCTGGAGGCTGGAAAAGGTATTGTGACTACACGTGTTTTTCCCTTCTCTGGCCATGGGCAAATGGCGCCAACTTTCCAAGAGCCCGCATATGAGGATTCAAGGCATGCCCTTTGCTTTCAATTAACTTGCGTCTTATTAAAAGCTGCTACGTATTAGTGTGTATATTTTCTGTGGTAAAAGAATATGTTAAATACTGAGTTGCTGTCACTTCACTAGAAGATTTGGAAGGTTTTTAGAGCTAATTTTGATGTTGAAGATTATCAGGGATTATGGTGTGAAAACCTCTTGCACTTTTGAATCCCTGTTAAATTTGTATGGTTTAAAGTGTATTGAGATAACGGGGTGTATATTTGACACTGGTTGCAGAGGGTATCCCTAGCCTTTGCATGGAGGAATGGACACCCTAGTTCCAAGATATCATTGAACTGGTGAACTTGTCCAAGTTATTAACTAGTTGTGATTGTTCTATTTGTGTATAGTTATAGATAGACAAGCTGATACTGTTTTAGATTTTCAAAGTTTTGATATTGTGAACTGCTTCAAGAAGTTGCTAAAGAGAAGGATATAAATTGAAGAAATAGCACTAAGACTAACAACAACCAATGAGAAAGCAAGAGGACAGAAGTTTTCCTTTTATTGGCTACCCAGAAGATGCTGTTGAGCAGAGTTAAAGTGTCTGTACGGGTACAAATCTGTGGGTCTGGATCTACTTGTTCAAGCAAATCCAGTGCCTGCAAGCCATCCAGTAGGATTCTGGTTGCCTCAATGCAGTTCTACTGGAGCTGTATTTTTCCATCTTGTTGCATGCAGCCATCTTCCGGTGCAGGGTCCGAAGCTCAGTCTTGGAGTTTGCCATTACAGCAGTAAAACAATGACATCATTGTCAGCTGCTGGGTTGGGCGACTGAGGCAAGAAGTTAACCTAGCTCTTGAAATTCAGTATTTTAATATTTCATTACTAGATTTTTTTTCATTCAAGCCTTACTATATAACTTTTACAGAGGGTAGACATTACTAATTTTACTGTTCTGTTGTGCATTGTGCCATTAGCTGACTTAGCATTAGACTGAAAGCACTCAACGTTGTATATGAATATTCAAAAACCCTGCTGTGTCTTTCATTCAAATCACAATATACTTACATTATTCTGTTTATTTTAACAGTGGAACGAGTTGAAAGAGACAACCTGTCAGAATATTGTGTTCTTGGTCAACGTCCCATGCACTTACCAAATATCAACCAGCTGGCAACCTTGGGCAAAACAAATGAACAATCTCCTCATGGTCAAATACACCACAGTACTCCAATCAGAAATCAAGTGCCAACACTGCAGCCAATCATGAGCCCTGGTCTTCTCACACCCCAACTCAGCCCACAACTTGTCAGGCAGCAGATAGCAATGGCCCACTTGATAAACCAGCAGATTGCAGTAAGCCGACTACTGGCTCATCAACACCCACAGGCGATTAACCAACAGTTTCTAAATCATCCACCCATTCCTAGAACAGTCAAACCAGAGCCAACAAACTCATCAGTGGAAGTCTCTCCAGATATCTACCAGCAAGTTAGGGATGAGTTGAAGCGGGCCAGTGTATCCCAAGCTGTCTTTGCAAGAGTGGCTTTCAATCGCACCCAGGTATCTTATGTATTTATTTATTTATTGCTTGCTTGCTTGTTTGCTTACTTTGAAGCATTTTGCACCATTCTTCTGCTGAAGGAGACTCTTAACACAGTTTACAGAGATCACTGATTACACAATAGAAAAGACGGGATACTGAAGGAAAACAGATTGGGAGGATGGAGGGTAAAAAGCAAGCTCTGACACTAGTTCTTACTTATTTTTATACCAATTCCTTGTTCCATATCTAAAATGGGAATAACTTTTCCCTTTAACAAAGGTCTGGAGGATGACTTTTCAAGAGGCACACCTGGGAAATAATTAAAACTATGATTTTTAATATATCCTAGAAATGTGATCCAGATGATCAGCAGGAGCAAACAGGATGCAACCAGATTCCCTTTCTTTCTCTCCCTCTGCCTGATTCTTAGTATTGTCAAGGAATGAAAGATAGTTCTGGTCTTCAACCGGTATCTCTTCATGCTGTGCCTTTTCATTCTCTCCTTGCCATTTTGGGTCAGTATGGGGACAGACCACTGATTGTTGCCCTCTAGCTGGAAGCTTCCGATCCTGGAGGCTTCCAAGAATCCTGTGTCCAGGAAGGCTGCTGCCAGCAGAGTGGAAGGAATGCTGGAGGTGATTCATGCCTCTTTGTCCTCTCAGGTTTTTTTCTCTCTACAGTTCCTGGCTTCCTCTCTCACCTCTCCTCCCCACCCACAGTAATGCTCCCTTTTTGACCTGTATGAGGTCATTCGAGCTTATGTTTGTGACCTCAGAGGGTAGATGCCATGGTTCTTTCCTTAGTATCTGCAAGGGAAGGGAGTGGGTATCAGTCTGCCTCCAGAAGTCATAGGAATGCCAACAGCTTTGGGAGGGGAATTGTGAAAAATCCTGTGTCCATGAGATCATAGGATTGCTTTCTTCAATTTGGAATGCTTCCTTTCCAGAAGAACATACTATAGGGAAAGTATTATGGCAAAAACTCTAGTTAGAGCATCCAGAGTTGCCCACTCAGGTTCCAGTGACATGACGTGGAGTTACATGCTTGATTGCTAGATGAGCTATTAGTGGAGGTGGGCAGTATAGAAAGAGACTGCTGCCACCTTTCCCTTCTAGCCCTTCAGTTACCCTCCACATAGTTTCCCTGTATTTTTCCTCTTGCAGGTAAAACAAGCTTTCAGGAAGATGATTTCTGAGTTCTCTATGTGGAGCCAACAGAAGAACAAAAAACTTGACCTCCCTATATATTCTTCCACTCGTAGCAGCCTACCTATCCATCTTTGTGTTCATAGTAAACACTGAGGAAAGAACCACAGAAATCCCATGAAATGTTGTTTGAGCTGTAGTATAGGTTCCAATGATACGTAATGCACATATATGTATAACAAAATCTTGACAGCTGTATTTTCCTAGGCAAACCTAACCTGGGTAGGGACAAATTTGGAATACAGAATCTGTAAAGAAAGGGGTGTATCACTTTTTCTCTGTCTTCTGCTTCTGAGTTTCAAATCAGCTCCCCAATTTGCTATTCCCCCCATATGACTTTGAGAGTCAAAATGCTTCTGGACCTTTGTGCATAGGCCAGGTTTGGAGGCCAATCTGAAATAGTCATGCCAGATTGATTGAGCAAAATTGAGCATATCTATGAAACAGTTTGAAGTTCTCCTTCCTGTTTCTTCTTTCAAAGCTGCCTTTCCTTAGAAGTATTCAGAGGAGTTTTGTTACAAGTTTGTGCATTCATGCATGTGTAGTTCACTCTGAGATAATGCATATGAAACACGTTGTACGTTTTAGTGCACTATATAAATGCTGTTCTTACTATTATTATTACCATTGCAACTACTATTATTGGAAATATCTATGTTACTCTAAAATGCTTCATCCCAGAATAAACACATTAAGTGTGTGTGAGTATACTTAAAGCAATGTCTATGTCTACATGCATGTAAAAACTTACACAGAATATCATATCACAGCCCCTTCCTTGAATCCCAGAGCACTGTAAATGTAGGCCAAGAGTAGTAACAAAAATGGCAATATATTCTATCTTTTTATCTCCTGAAAACTGCTGCTTACATAGCATAGGCCGATTGTCTGTTGCATTGGATTAATGATTTTCTTTGGCACTGCCATATTGGAAATGCCATGTTATGTGGGAACTAATTAACTTTGCAGCATACTTTCATTACTTCCTTTCTGCTATTAAATTTATAAGATGTCTACAGCCAGCAAAAACATTCACTTTGAATCAACATGACTACATTTTTTGGGTTAGCCTTGAGGATATCAAATAAAAATTATAGTGGAATGCATGAGTATTTCCTTTTTAAAATTCTGCTTTTAATTTGGAAAAGCATTTCATCCCTCTGGGATCATAACCTGCTGTATGTATATATAAAGCCCAGTATAATAAATGTAGATAGTATTGACGCAGTGACATACTGTGAACTTGAGCAAGAGGTCAACAGTAATAATGGCTTTGTAGATTTTCTACCACTGTTACTGAATAAAACACTGTATTTTAGCAAGATTGTTTAAACTGTAATGATAGTAGTTAAGCTATAAATAAAATTTTACAAGAACAAAGTATACCCAGGTTCAGAAGATTCTAGATGAAACTAAATTTTACTGTACTGGAATTGAATTTGGTGAATTAGAATTCGTGAAACAGTCACCAAAGTACCAAGTGTTCCAAAGAGTTATAAGGCAAATTTTGCTGCAATCTTTTAAGCACTATGCATAGTCAGAACTATCCTATAACTTTTAGTCAAGCTCATTCTTCTCTTTGCTGTGACTAAATTTGGCCTCCTTGCCACAGTAGCTTAACATTTAAGCTAACATTTAACTCAGCATAGCATTTAATTTTTTTTGACAGTATCAATCTGTTGTTGGAACTCAGCTGAGCTCTTTAAAGTGCTAAGTGGAAATAAAGGTAGGGTACAATCCTAACTTTATACCAACTGGCCAGGTCCTTTGAACTCAGTGGGACTAACTTCTGAGATGTGTGTACAATTGTGCTGTGTATGATTGATTTCACAATTACTCCAGTTTAACATAAAAAAGCAGATTTTATTCATACAACTTTTCAAAAACACCATGTACAAAAACTGTTGAGGTACACTGGACTCCACAATATTAAAAAGCCCTCAAGGAGAAAACAGAACTGGAAGCAAAAAATAACTTCTATTTTCAGTGAAATACTGGTTCATAGTAAATAACAGAAGGGTCCAGTGTATCCCAATAGCCTAATGAGATAATAGTACATTGCAAATAAGAAATCAACATTGCACGTTTGCATCACGAGAGTGCTAAGTTCTGTGTTAGATTAAAGGAAGCTTGCAGCTGACCCTTTATGGTGATGTTCTTCATTATGGTCTGCGTGTATCACACATTATGGGTGCTGCACCAGCGCAGTGCCTGTTGCTGGGAAGATTTAAGAGCTTTAATGATTTTTGGTGGGAACTCTGCACCCTCCCCCCATAGTATAAATGGTCAGAGTGCCCGCTCTTTCCTTAGTCTGCTTGCAACCGTTGTTCGCTGTGCCTCAGACCTTTTTCTTTGCTTGTTGCCTCATCTTCTCAATTGTTAATCTTATAAATCTTAAAAACTCTTTTCTTTCTCTTAAACTCCACTTTATACCCTAAATCCCGCTGTTCCCTTCACTGAACTCCTGCCTTTATCTCTTGTTCTATCCCCCCTCCCTTTACCCCTTCCAAATAAAAAATTAACCCCACCCCATCGTCCTTACTTCTCCACAAACGATCTCCATTTGCTGTCTTTCTCTTCTTCTTGATGGCACAGCAGGCAGCCTTCCGTAAGTGCTCTCAATGTGGAGCCAAAATGTCTCCCACTGATCCGCACGATCTGTGTCTTCTCTGCCTTGGAGAAGGGTACAGGACTGACAAGTGCAGCCACTGCCAGTCGTTCATCAGGCAAACTCGCAAAAACCACGAGAATAGGCTGCGCAAAATGTTACGCTAGGACATGAAGCACGTCTCAGCTGAGGCCAGATCCTCCGCTGCTTCAGGACCATTGAAATTCATCCCCCCTCGCTTATCCAAAGGGGATCTTGTCGGCACAGATGGAAAGCGTTCCTCTTAGTCTCCTTCTTGCAAACATAAGGAGAAGAGGAAGCATGTTGGGTCTGAAGAATCACCGAAACCAAAGCATCCTAAGAAGGACAAACCCGACAAATCTGAGTGTTGGCACAAGAAGCGTGACAAAGTGCCTCACTCTGAACCAAGTGCCGCACCGATCTTGGTTCCATTTTTGGTTCCAACTGAACCACCAAGCTGCCAATCAGTTATGCATGCGACACCTCCACCATCACCTCCACGGATTACAACTTCGCTACACTCCAGTCCCGATCACTTTGATCCCGTGGCAAGATCTTCAATTTCTGACAGAGGGATCCGTGAATCTCCTCCCCAGTTGGGACCAGATCGTCCACCTGTAAGATTGCCCACTCCTACGCCTGTGGGGCAATCATCTCTGGAGGGCTCTCTGAGGGTACCTCAATGCCTGTTTTCCTTCTTACCACCCCAGTCTTCCACACCACAGCCATCATGGTACTGGGTTCCTCTTCCCCAAGGGGAATTCATCCCTGACTGTATGGAGCGACCCTCTCCGTGGCATTCCTACCCCCCATACAGATATTACCCACCACCACTAATGTGTCCTCATCACTCCACCCCTTACTTGGTATTGAGAGATGCCCTGTCAACATTTGGTTCTCACCCATCCATCAACGTCTCCCGACGGGTCCTCATCTAGTCCCCCCTATGAATCTGACTTGGATTCAGAGGACTCCCAACAAGTCTTTACTTCTCCCGACACTGTTATCTCCACCCAAGGTCTTGGGTGTCCAGGCACCTCCCAGGGTAGTTTCTCCAAGCTACTTGCACAGATGACTCATAGGGCAGGCAAACTAAGGAACATTCTACTCTGGCTGATAAAGAAGGTCAAAAAATTGACATGTCTCACCCGATCTATGCCACAATGGGATTCAGTCTTCGGAT